AATTATCTTTTTAATTCTTTTCTGCTAATTATAAATTTCTCAAAAAAATATAGACATAAAATTAACATTTTTAAAGATAAAATCATTATTGTATAACTTTGCCATTAAAAAAACGCAATTTTAACACAGTCGATAAATCTCGAAAAACTCAGCTATTCTATCTAAATCATGCACGTATTGAAACTATATATTTTTAGTTTTATATTCCATTCGAAATTTTTTCTATTTTTATATTCTATAGAAAACGTTTAGAAGAAGCGTAGCGGATTACTGTATTCACGAATATTTCCACCTGTTCGACTCAATTGAAATATCAATTTCTTTTCGCTCGACGCATTTCTATCTTTAAAGCCTTGTAAATATTCCTTCGATTTATCCTCTGGATATCCACATATAGAAATCCTCCTTAAAATCTCGCGAATAGATTACGCTTTGTCAAAGATCAATTTCGAAATACGTTCGCATTTTGCAAATCACATGCCTGTTGTAATCTTCAAATTAAATTAAGGTCATCGAAAATCTAGCTTTGACTTAATTACATTTACTTATGGAAGACAGATGTGATGCTTGATCTCGATAATATAAAATATTTTCGCAAAAAAATTATTCGTATTAAAAATGGTTAGTATAAAAATATTAATATAAAATAATTCAAAAGAATTATTTTATAAAAATAGTATTTCTTGAATGTTCATATTCAAAATCAAGATTTTTGAGTCTATGTTCATTGAGTCTATGAAATTTTGCTCTTTATCTCTGATGAATACCATCAATCTCGCGCTTGTATCAAGAATTTTTCAACGCTCTTCACACTCTCGAAGCTTCCCTCGATCGAATCGTTCTTGTTCGTCATGTGTTACAAGTGCTCGAAAAGACTTTCGATAGTTATGGATTCCTAGCGACTTTTCGAGTCAATAGGCTGTACTTATTCTACTACCAAGAGGAATTTGCTAAAAGGTCATAAAGGCGGCTTTCCCCGCGATGATGTTCGCTTTCACGGTAGGTAACAATACAATCGAGAGATCAATATTCTGCGACGCTTTCATTCTCGCAAAGAAAGAAAAAAATATCCCTTCGAAAAAGTACTATGGGGGAAGGAGAATATGAAACGTCAACGTAAATAACGTAAATAACGTCATTATTAATAACGATTTTTCCCATTTCGTTCTCGTTTGATTAAAATTACATCCCATTGGGCAGATCGAATCAGCGAGCTAATCATCCGCGGGCATTTTTTATGCAGGACGTGTTTGCTCAACATACGGGTTCTTTTATGCATTTTGTATAAGCCAATAAGTGGATAGATGTTGCGTAGTAACACACGGCAACATTTCGATATTAATATTGGAGTGGAGAATTCTATTACCTCTCAAAGACTTAGTGATAATGCGTTAATAATTGAGTGATTTAATTACTATTCGGGTTGCGTTGCACGCAACTCCGCGGGGACTTGTTATTTCGTAGGTATCATGCTAAACTAGATTAACATAATACACACTACGCGTTACGCGGATTTGGCGCACGTGTGAAATATTAATATCGTCCTTCTGGCGCCCTGAATTAATTTCGTATAATACGCGCCGCGCGCGCAAAGCGCAACGTTACTGAATATCTAATCTGGATAAACCGATTATTCCTCCGGTTTATTAGTGTCCTTACTTTTGACACGCCGCATCTCTCTGCCGTTCTGAATTAATTTAACACGCTAATATATTTACCCCACATAATTCCGTTCAGTGTCATAATTCCGCAGTGTCAATGCCGAGTAAAAACGAGATAATAATAGTAATAACGTCAGAAATTCAGAGATTCGATTAAGAATCTAATCGGTATTTTTTTTTTTTTTTTTTTTGTAAAAAGTCGAAATGGCCAAGTATGGCAAAGATGGAAAATCGTACGGCATGCTTAACGGAAAAATATTACAAAGAGTTAGTACACGTGCGGAATTATGTGAGGAAAAGTAGCTGGTATTTTCGTGCACGTTGTTAGAAAACTGACTTCTGCGGAAGTCGATTTGGCTGGAAAAGTCAAAGATCAGCATAATATTTCCAGGAAAAGTATTTCTCTCTCTCTCTCTCTCTCTCTCTCTGGCTTCTTTGATCTGGAGAGTCGACGCTCGATACTTAGATTTCCTTAGATATTGTAAATAATTGTTGTTGAATTCTCGGAAATATCCCGTAGGTTTGACAGGCTAGCCGCTGAGCACCACTGCCTCAGGATAAAGCTCCTCGGAGACTGTTATTATTGCGTTTCCGGGCTTCCAGAGCCACGGCCCGACCACGCTCACTGTTGCGTAGAAATGGGATTGGACATGATCGATGCAATAACGTAAGTCTGAACGTTCCTCCACCTCTCACGCAATAGCTCCGTTAAGCCTCCGTCATACACATACTTTATCATCTGAGAATAATGCCGCTGCTCCGTCCACATATTTTCGAACAATATATACGATAACGAAAGCGTAATCAATAGGTCAGGACGTATCGCATTTAAAATTATAAAACGACAAAATAAATCTATCATACGTTCCATCAGCGACGTCAAAGATCCACTCATAATACTCCTTATCTTGGCTCGGTTGATACCGAACAAAGGAAACACGAGATAAAAATAGCCGAGGACAGAATCTCAAAAGCTGCAGAGGGAAAGGGGTAGACGGATGATACAAAGGGAGAAGAGACAGAGAGGAGGGGGGGGGGAAGAGATACAGATCAAAGTAACATCCGAGCAATAAAGATGCTCTCGCTCGGATCCGCGAGACGACCGCGCGGAACTTCCGGCGCGGCTGTTACCCGTGCGCGCAACATGTCGTGTCTCGCTCGTGTTTTCGCGTTTCATCGTCAAAGAGCAGATTTCCTCGGAGAGCCGAGCAATATACATGCTCGCGATTGAGGTCGATTCGCGTCGCCGTGAAAGGTCCGTGGAAATCCACAGGTCACCGCACACACGGATAAACTCCCCACGAGTACTCGCGTTTAAATTTCAATTCGAGAAACTCGCTTTAACCCTTCGTCGTTAAATCTCTCTTCGTCAAGCTCGGCGCTGCTTCATCCGCGATTCATCGAAATGGTTTCCCGCTTGCAAAAACTTTTGTCGGAACGTTCGCATGCGATAAGATATACGAATAATCGCGTGTGAGAAGCCACGTGCGGAAGAGCGTAGGAAGGACCGAAGGGCACAATCATTGTAATTGTCCAATTAGGGATGTATTATATTTATTTTTATTTATAATGAATATAATTTTATTGTATAATAATAATAGTAATTTATTTATTATATAATAATTATTATTAATCTATAGATTTTTCTAGATCGCTTTTAAAAGTAATGCAAAAATTTTCCGGCGGTTTAGAACCTGAATTAAAAATTATTTAAATATAAAATAGAAATGCACTTTAACGGAAATGTAATTCAGAAAAAAATGACAAAAAAAAATCTCAATTTTTTTACATAAGTTAAATATTCAAGATGATTTATAAAAGCTCTATTGTGAGAGATTAGTTGGTTTGTAAATAAAAATTTAATTTTTATTAAAAGTACAAACGAAACGAGTGGTGATTCCAATGAAATTAAATTTTTATTTGTCAAATAATCTCTGCATCGCAATGAAACTTTACGCAAATAATTTTAAATACTTAAAATATTTATGTTAAAAAAATTGAGATTTTTGTCATTATTTCTTAATCTTTATTAAAGCACATCTCTATTTATTTATTTAAATATAATTTTTAATCTATGTCCTAAATCGCCGCTAAACTTTTTTATATCTCTTAAATACGATTTAGAATAATCGACTTAGAATCTGTAAGTTTTTCTTAATTTCTTCAGTCTAAATATAAAAATTATAAAAATAGACCTGATACATCCTTAAAGCGGATCTATTGTCACGAAAAAAAAAAAATCAATGTTCGCACGTAATAGTTCTTTCTTGTTTCATCAATAATAAAAATACTCGGGAACTTTGCCAACAGTTGGAGGCTTTGGGTATCAGAGTAGCGTTCATCGAATATAACTTAACGACGAGAAAGTTTGTTTCACGTCACAAACTCGGATAATAGTTATCCGTCTACTTCCGCACCTAATAACAGGGCAAACAATAAATTCTCGCATTCGTAGATTGGTACGCGAGGTAATGGCCGTGAACGTGAATATGAGAGTCGGAATCCATACGGGCCGGGTTCACTGCGGGGTCCTCGGTCTGCGAAAATGGCAGTTTGATGTTTGGAGCAACGACGTGACCCTAGCCAATTACATGGAGAGTGGAGGGATACCTGGGTGAGTACAAGCAATTTTGCTCGAGGTTTGTCAACCCTCCAGTTAACTTGGTTGACTTGCCTTCGAGTCGACTCCGAGACTGGGGGGAGGGGGGGGTGATAAATTACCGGTGATATATCCCGTATAATTCTGCCCTTTTCACTTTGATTCGTATAAAAACTTTTCGAACCTTGCGAGCGTAATTTTAAATAAAAGAAGCCTATCGCAAACACGTTGTAAAACGTTGTTGAACGAAAATTTTCTTGATGTCGGATCGTTACATTGACGAAGCTAATATTAGTTGGAAGATATGATATTTCGCAGACGTGTACACATCACGAAGGAGACTCTAGATTGCTTAGGCGGATATTATGAAGTCGAAGAAGGCCGCGGGGGTGAAAGGAACGCGTATTTAAAGGACCATAACATCAGGACCTACTTGATTGTCCCGGGAGACACATTTAAGGATAACATAACTAGTTCCGGGATGCGAAAAACTTTCCCAGCGAATGGTAATGTGTCCAAAGAGATGAGGGTTATGGGCCACGGCTCGCAACACGGAAAACAGACTAAGTAAGCGCTCTTCCATTAACGCTAATCTTTTAACTCTTGATTTAATTAAAACGTCGTACAGCTCATAATTTTTCCTTAAATAATTTTTTGAAAATTGCCAACAATTTCACTGAACAAAAACGTTGCGAAACATTATCTAATTATAGCAATTAGAAAACAATTGCAATTGTAACTATTATATTTGCAAATTCCAATTCTTGCAAGGCTAATGTCATGCAAACGATTATAAAATGAATTAATTATATAATGGTTTATATTAAAAAAAAAAGAAATAATTAAAACAAATAATTAAAATAATTAAATAATTAAAATAAGTAAAATAAAATAGAAATAATCGAAATAAAAATTCGTACTTATATCGTAATAAGTAAATAAAAAGTAATGTGATTCTTAATAAATAAATGTGCTATTGGATTCATGTCACAAATAAATGTTGAGTAAATTACGATAATGTTTTACTCAAATAATACATGCCGCGTATGTTTCAACAGATTAGGCTTCGGTGAAACTATCGAGGGCGAAAAGGATCCCGAAGATGAAGTGAACGAGTACCTGATGAGAGCGATCGATGCTAGAAGCATAGATCGATTAAGAGCGGAGCACTGTACGCCCTTTATACTGACATTTCGAAGACCGGATGTTGAAGAAAAGGTAACGAACATCGTGAAACGAGTAGTACGCTTCGAATTAAAGTGAAATTAAGTACAGCATTATCGTAATCGTTGAACTACACTACACAATTGGAATGAGGATAAGATAATGGCTTATCAATTTGCCAAGAAATGTATTAGGATTATATTGTTCTTATTCTTATATTATTCTTATTATATATTGAATACTCGCTCTTTATCGCTCTTTTATAACATGAAAATCTACAGCATAAAAAAGATTTTTACATTATAATTATCCTTTTTAAATTGGGTCACGTCACTCGAGAATAATTAATCCATTCGTTTCAATCGGAATATAGTTCAATGATCGCAACATATTGAATTCGTTACAAAACATGTGCATTTATTTGACATTTTTTTAAATAATTTCGTATTGTTTGGTAAAATAAATTTCGACACGGTAATTTCCTTTTTTGTGAATTCAAGCAATTTATTAAAATTATTTCCAAGTTTCTATAATAAAAATTCTATTCTTATAGTACATAATGTAACCTTTTATAAAGTGGACTTCACTGGAATTTAGAAATTTATTTATTTTGATAGATATATGATATTATATATATATATAATATGAAATATAGCTAAATGTAATGTAAAAAAAGTAATTGTGTACCGAATTGTCCCACGTATGTATTAACGCGACCAATCGGTACAGTAATCCATGTTAATAGAAAATCATTTAAATTTAATTTTGGTTAATTCGCTAAGCGTGCACTTGGATTATTCGGATTCCACGTAATTTAATCGTGCGCTGTATGTAATCGATTTAACAGAATACTACATTTTCTCGTCGAGAAGAAAGTCCACATCGAAATTGCCCGCGGAAACCGATGATTAAAAGCACATCCGTTAGCAGTAAACAGCCCGTAATAAAGAGAAACAATGCGCGATATTGCAATTGTTTTAATAACCTGTTGCAGTACTCGCGCGAGAGGGACAGGATGCTCTCGGCTTATTTTGTGTGCTCCGGTTTCGTCTACATGGTCGTTGTGGTCGCAATAGCCATCACCCTCGCCGGGTAAATACACGTGCCAATAAATCCTACCATCTATATAGCAGAAGCGGTATCTTTCTTTTATTACACTCTCGAGACCCGATGTGTAAAGTCTACTCGTACTTCACTAGCGTCGAATTGTCCTTCGTTCCAATATTTATGGACACTTCTGTGAAAATCGTTCGATAACTTAGTCTGAGACGGCATAAATCTGATGATAATGTACATGGAAGTCGAAAGATGTATTATAAAAAGGAACTCGTGAAAGTCGCGTTAAAAGTGTTTCCTTTTGTCCTCGTAGGAGTGTATACTTTTACATTTGCACGGCGATTAGCATATTGGTGATAGCCTTGGTCAATGGCATCTTATTGGACGGAAAAAAAACGAGGTAAGAGCATCAAATTCTCCGCATATGTTATTTCAATGTGTATATATATATATATATATATATATATATATATATATATATATATATATATATAATAATAAATAAATAATAATAATAAATAAT